TGGGGTTTGCATGCTGCCCGTGGAGTGCAGCCACATCCCTGGAGTGACACAACTGCCTCAAGGGAGAGAACACAGCTCAGCTTCCCACCCCCCAAGCTGCTGTGCTTGCCAAAGCTTCGTGTCTGACCAGTGCCATAGATCTTTCTCTAGTGAAACACACACTGGAACCAAACACACACATGTAAGTGGGTTTGGGGTTCTTTTTTTTAGCCACACACAAGAGTGGTTCTGTGCTCATTAATCAGCCCAGGAACATGCAAGCAACACAAAGCTTCGTGCCCAGGAGCTCCAACAGCAGCTGACTTGCCAAGAAAGTACATGGGTAGTAGCTCTGATTTAAGCACAAACCAGCTGAAAACCAGCTCAGTGAGCCCAAGCTACCCAGCAAAGCCCAAAGGCCACACCAAGGGTCAGACTTCTCCCTTTCTGCTTCACCCACCATCCCATACAGCCTTTCCTTAACTGCAGGTTGCACCTGCCTGGGTGAACAGTTACCTCACTGCTCAGGTTACTCTATTTTTATTGATTTGTCGTTGGACTTCCCAGCTCACCCGTTTCTCACCGTGCAGTACACACATCACTCAGCCTCCTGTCCTTTGAAGATGCACAGGAGTGGCTGTGGAAGCCAACAATAGCCAAGTCTCTGCATCACTGGCAGGATGTTGCTGTAAAGGTTACAGAATTGACTTCTCGGTGACTAAAGCTAAAGCTGAGAGTGGAGGAGAGCTGACCTTGGAAAATTTATCTCATCCTGTTTAGATTCACACAGAACCACTTGCCAAATCTCTTAATATAAAATATTTCACGTCAGGGATTGACAAAGTTCCTCCCTTACCCTTCCTCCCCTCTTCACAGCCCAGGGCTCAGAGGATGAGGATCCGGTCACTTGACGTGCTAGGGACACAAGTCCCAGATTTTTACTGTTGGAACAGGAAACACTGTCAGATCCTTCTGGAGAATTCTATTGTTATATTAGCAAATACAACCTTTGCCCAGGGTGAAAATGGCAGAGGGCATCTCCTTGCCACCTGCAGTTCAAAGAACTGAGATGAGGGATGCAAAGGAAATCACAGCTCTCCGTGGGCTACAGCTTTTGTCCAGTTTGGTTTTCGGATGTCACACAGATGCAATATTTGACTTCCTTTCCATTCCTGGTCAGATATTTTGGTTCTAATTCAACACCAAACTTTGCGACTTGAAAGAACTTTTTTCTTTGTTGCTACAAGAGCCATGTGACAGTCAGGATTCAACCTGTGCCCAGCGAGCAGGGCCTGGCTGCAAAACAGCTGGACAGCTCTGTCTCTGCCCTTCAGCCTCTCCAGCCTCTTCCTCCACCACCCTTCCCTGCAGGTTCTCCCAGTGCCCCAAGGCCAACCCCAGGCCTGGTCTGCACGACCTGCCCCGCTGCTGCCAGGCACGTTGTTCTCTAGCTGCCACAGCATCCCTGGCCAGTGCCTACCACTGCTGTGACAACTGCCTGCACCAGTTCTGATCTACAGCTCAACACTCCTACCCCCTCCTTTTGTCTCCTTTTAAATTAAAATTTCTTAACACTAACACACATTTCCACTGATCCAGAGTTAAATTTGGAGGGATGGCAGCAGAGGGGCGTTCAGTGACCCGTAACCACCGGCTCCACGCTGTTTTCTCACACCTCTGGACAACAGAGAACTTCGAGTTCCCGTTGTGATAACCAGTTTGTTCTGTAGCTAGGAGACACGCCCTCTCTTTGTACATGTTACCAATCAGGCATATCTGATCCATTATTCACTCCCCACTGCTGCTTCCCACTTCCAGCTCCTCTCAGGAGGCAGCGCTCAGACACGTCGCCGGGGCGTCGTGTGACAGGTGGCATTGACTGAGCTCAGTTGGGGTTTAATGTCACCCTTGTCCAGCAGGAACACACGGGGAGCACGCTCGGAGCCCTGGCGACGTGGCACAGCAGGACCAGAGCCACCAGCCAGCCCTGCAGGACTCGGGCACAGAGATCAGCCAGCCCCAGGAGCCGTCGTGTGCAGCCTTCTGCTCCTGCCTTCCCTGCATCCGTGCTGACGGTTATCTACTGTAAACAACCCTTCCAAAACATCCAATTAGCTGTGATCGAGGGCACTGCTTAAACATTAAGTATTATAACACAAAGAGTCTCTGTCAACAAGGATGTTTGGCAGAAAAGCTGAGACTGTGCCATAGTTACTGTTGCTGCCAGGCTGGGAAATGGTGCATTCACCAGCCTGACGTGACCCGGCTCCAAAAGATTATTCTTTTTTCACTTGCTGTCTGAAAGGAGGTGGTCTGCCAAGAAACCAACCAAGGCCCAGCCCTATGCCTGATAAACATCTTTCCATCTGGATTTCCCAAGCTATGGGGAAAGTTGAGCAATTCTCACTTCACAATGTTTGCAGCTCTCACAGAAAGCTGTTTCTATATATAACGTTATTCTGTGGAGAAGTCCAGCAGAGCCCCGTGCCATGAAAGAGAGCTGAGGGCTAAAGCAGCAGATCCTGCAGCCACCACCACCTGCATGTTACTCAGAAACTGTCACTCCATCTATGAAACATCACAAGGCCTTGAGTGACAGCTTATTCTAAATACCACTGGCGCCCATCTTCAAAGTGTTTTTTGAATGACTGTAGTTCCCAAAGGAACTCAAGAGAAGCAAAGAGTGTGAGCGCCAGCTGACAAACCAGCCATTGTGCACGGGGAGATTGCTGGCCACTGAGGCAATTAATCCTTTTGGTGTGCCAGGGTGACATTCTTCCAGCAGGTCAGAGGTGACCAGAGCTCGGCGCAGCGCCGGAGGCACGATGCTCAACGGCCACGTGAGGTATCACAGAAGGTGCTACCCAGTGTTGGGATTCAATCTCTGCTCTGGCAGTTCATCCTTCAAAGTAACAAACACCCATGAAAGGTCAGCAGTCAGTAGCTAAACAGCATGTTTCTGAGCTGATTTCCTAGCAGGTTTTGTCAGAGTTGTGTTGAATTGGAGGGGTGGGTATTTTCTTGTGGGCAAGCTAGCGTTGGTAGTTCCCTTTCAGATCTGGACAATTGAAATTCTAATTTAGAAGTGCCAAAAAGTTGTAGCCAACACATGGCTGATGGCAAAATTAAGCTTTAAAGTTGTCTGTAATCATGCACCAAGTCTTTTGCAAGCTAGAAAAAAAAACCCCACATTTATTTCAGCAATAAAGGGGAGAACGTTGGAGATGATAAATCATTAATGTTGTATTGTTCCAGGATCTCACACACAAAAACCACTCCAGCATTATATTCAACCTCTGCACTGAAATGCCCACATGGAAAGCAGTAAGCAATTAGAATTAAAACATAATTTGATGACAAAGCATTCACTAATGAAGCACAGTGAAGTGTCAAACATTACAGCTGAAGAAAAACAACTAGGAAAAGTAGAAATGTCCAATAACAGATTACTACAACTATGAATTTCTGTAAAGCTGAAGGTAAATAAGTAAATAACAAGTTTGCCCAAACAGAATGAGTGTATCACAGAGGAACAGCTTGAAGAAAGAGCTGGATTTCAGTGTAATCCCTCCTTTGGTGACCCAAAAGTGAATGGCACACTAAGCTACAAACATCCTGCTAAATGAACAAAAATACTTCAGGTAGATGTTAACTGCCTTTATTAACAGAGCTACTTTTGTAAAGAACAAAGAGGAATCCTGAAAACTGCCACTTTGGGATACAATCACAGCAGCAGTCAGATTTTCCTAAGAACTCAACTACTGTGGCCAACAGCTCTTCCCCTCACCTTCCTCTCGGGCAGGGCTGTGGTGGAGAACACCAGGGAAGCCCCAAACACCCCATCTAGTGGTTCACACAACAACAGAAACAGCAAAACAACACTTGGGGGTCACCTGCTGCTCCTCACTTCCTCAGCATGAAACTGCACAGGCCCAAACCCCAGCACCTTCCCAAGTGAGACCCCCAGAAACACAGCACAGGCACAAAGTCGTTTGGTTGTAGGTGTCACAAGCTCTTCAACATGGCTCTTGCATCATCACAAGAAACCTTGCTGTGCTGCAGGCTCTGAATTTTTCTAGCAGAAGCAGTGTTTTAAAAATATTCCTTCTAGTTTATTTAATCTCTGTGTTATTGTAGTGCTCTCTTAAGAATCTCTTAAGAGTCCAAGTTTGACTCAAACACTCTTGACCAGAATCATTCATCTGGAACTGTAAAGGCTGAATTTATTTTTTTTTTTTTAAATTATTTCTGTCTTGGAAGACACCATCTGTAAGAATTGCCTTCTTCTTACTGTGACAGTGTGTTTGTGGAGGTGAGGTGGATGCTGTATGGAGAACACTGCACGTACAGTTCTGAGGTGCCAGGGTCACAGCATTTTCTTGGTGCAACAGCATCAACACAACAGTAAGTGAGAACGTGTGCACATACAAAAAGGGAAGCAAACATTCTAACAGCAACTTCAGCCCTTCCATAGTGAGTCTAAGATGACTGCAAAGTCCAAAGCCCCAACTACCCACCAGGGGAAAAGGTGAGACTGAGAATAATTTTACCTGTTGGTACTCTCTGAATCTGAGCCAGGCAAGCGACTCAGCTGCAGCATTCTCTTCTACGCCCTACAGCTGTCTATGTGCTTAACTTTGTAATTAAATATCCTGTTGGCAGCAAGGTCCTAATTCAGTACAGTAAAGCTGTAAAGACAGGAAAAATTAAGACTTCAACTGTTAGTTATATTTCTGTGGAATAAAGCCTTTTAGGAGTCATAACATTTCCCACAGCCACGTGAAAATCAGGACTGTATCTATCCACTAAGGAAGGTGTGGGCAGCTCAGTGCCAATGTGCACCTTTATCCCTGTTCTCCCCTCAACAGGCAACAATAGTCACTAAGTAAAAAAAATACTCAAGTACCCAAGTGTAGAAACCCTTTCCCAGACTCCTCACTGAAACCAGTGATTGCACAAGAGATCCAGGGTAGGCCTTGGAGAGCCTCTTTAGGGACGTGAGGGGTGGCAAAGAAGTGGAATGCTGACAGTTATCATACAGCTGAGCCTTCCAACTGTACTTCTGGCAGTTTTAAACAAAAATAATCATTTTAGTTTGGGGAAAATTCTGATGAAGAGAATCATGCTGATGAATATAAAACAAACGACAATTAACATGATCCATAAGAGCCAGTTGACAGATTTCTTTGCGTGCTGCTCAAGGCGGTCAGACTCATCCTTCAGCTTCTCAAAGTTCTGGTCAGCCATCCTGAGAGAGTGTGATAGTGTCTGGGGAGCAAAGAGAACAGTGTCAGACTTGGATTTGAAAGTTCTGATTTGAAAGTTCACTCTGGAACAGGTCCAGAGGAGGGCCACGAAGATGATCTGAGGGCTGGAAGCCTCTGCTGTGAGGCCAGGCTGAGAGCTGAGGTTGTTCAGCCTGGATGAGAGAAGGCTCCAGGGAGACCTTCTTGTGGCAGTCCAGTAACTGAAGGGGGTCTACAAGAAAGCTGGGGAGGGACTTTATACAAGGGCTTGTAGTGACAGGACAAGGGGTGATGGCTTCAAACTGGAAGAGGGGAGATTTAGCTTGGATGTAAGGAAGAAGTTCTTCACTGTGAGGGTGGTGAGACACTGGCACAGGTTGCCCAGGAAAGCTGTGGATGCTCCATCACTGGAGGTGTTTAAGACCAGGTTGGATGGGCTTCTGAGCAACCTGGTTGAGTGGGAGGTGTCCCTGCCCATGGCAGGGGGGTGGTACTAAATGATCTTTAAGGTCTCTGCCAACCCAAACCACTCTATGACTCTGTGACCACTATTTCTCCCAACAGAGAAAAGGTTCAATTGCACTAGAAGCAGCCAGGTATCACCCCCAGGTCTCCCCACTCCAATGCCAGTTACAGGTATCAGACTGAACACATCAACACTTTAATTTTCTGAGTCCAGCACTTTAGTGTGTGCTACCTGGTTATCTTGTTTTATCACGTTCTGTGCAGCCAGAGTGTTGTTTTTGAGACTGCGAGCCAAACTGAGCATTTCTTCAGCCAGCTTCTCCTGCATGCCCTGGTGGTGCTGTAGCACAGCATCCAGCTCCACGGCCGACTGCTTCTCATCAGACACGAGGCCTCTGCAAGAGCACAAGGGGAAAAGAATTTGGGATTTGTGCTTCTCAATGGGACGATCTCCCAAGGTTTCCCCAGACTCTGCAACTCTCACAAGACAACAGGAACAGTTAAGGCAGCTGAAATAATTGTATTTTGGTTCCTGCCAGCAAGCACTTCATTCACATAAGTACATTTGTGCTTCGAGGGGTAGGTGTAAAGCAGTTCCCAAAATGCCAAGCATGAGAATGGGAAATTGTGACTTACTTCCGCTTCCTTATGCCCAACTCATCAGAATCTGGAAATAAAAAGAGTTAAATCTGTGGTTTACAATGTTATAAGTTCCCATGCAATCACAGGCTGAAGAAACAAGTTTTCTCTGAGGGTTTTTCAGATGTCCAAATCCTACTTGGCCCTCTACCCCAGGGAATACAGATTTCAAATGCCTACCTGCTTTCCACGAGGAAAAGACAACCACTAACATTGAAAGTATGGTTGAGAGAAAAAACAAACAAACAAAAAACCACCCAGATGAATCACATCCCTAAGGGCAGGTTTTAAGCCTGGGTGTCTTGGTGTTCTCTTTCAGGACATGCTAGATTGGCCCAGCTCCAGCTGCTGGAACAGTAGCTATGGAAACTGCAAATTAATTCCTACCCGTCCCCTACGTGAATAACACGGCTGCACCAGAGGAGCTGAACAATGCCTGCTCTAAATGCCTAAAATCACAGGATTTGCTCAGAGCAGAGGAGAGCAGGAGCAACAATAGTGGTAAACTGTCCTTGCTAATTCCAGAATGAGAATGTCTGTTTTGGTATGAATTCTAGAAAAACAGGTTCCTGAAAGTCTCTGCTACTATGCTGGTAACAACTTTGGCTTTCATCTGTCAGGGCTTTTGGTTTAATTTGGTTTTTAAATCTGCTATCTTTAATTCAGTGGCTCCCTTCTTTTCAAAGGACACTTGGGCCAGTCTCTAATACCTGAGCTTCCTCTTCCTCTCCCTGTAAGAACTCAGGTTAACTCAAGTCAGAGAAAACAACAGACTAAACTTACCATCGACAGCCAGGGGATCCTGGGAAGCAGAAAGAGAAACAAAACAGAAGATTACAAAGGGCCAGTGATAACAGACAGTGCCCCAGGCCTAGCACAGTGCCTGTGCCCAGCACTTAAAGACTATCCAAACCAGAAGGTTTTAATACTCCCCACCCAGCCCGGGGCACGCCCGGGGCACTAAACACACCAGAAGACAATCTACAGAGGGGCAGTGAAGAGGCAGCAGCACCAAAACATACTGTACCAAGCAGCTCACTCCTCATCTTGCCTGTGCAACGAGCCTTTGTCTGCAGATGAACTGTTTTAGTAGCTGGGGTTCTCTCTTTGGTGGTTGTAGGGGTACGCCCAGGGGCCAGGAACTGATTTGCCAGAGCCTTTTCAGTTGATGAAGGCTGTGAGGAGGAAGAAGCAACGAAAGGTCATGAACATCACATTCCTGTGCCCATCAAGGATGCAGGGACCACTTCCAGAGCTGCCTCCCAGAGAACTGTGAAGGCAGTCTGGGCAATGGCAAGGACTGTGCCTGCAGGGATTGCAGTGCAGCTGCCTGGCAGTTTGTAGCTCTCCAGATGCATGTGGTACCACCCAAAGGAGGTGTTGGGGCTGAGGGACAGTACCTGCCCCTGCATCTCACACCAAAGGAGTGAGAATGTAGGCAAGGGGTATTTTGCTTTTGAAAAGAAGGAAAGAAGTTTCAGATTTCATACAATAACTCTTTTCAATTAAATATAAAAATCCAATATATTAATTCACCTTTTTACAAGGGCTGCCTGACAAGATTTTAAGCAGCACTATTTTGAGACTGAAAATAAAGGCAAACATAGAAACCAGGCAACAAGATGAATATAAGCAGAAAACACTCAAGTGTTTTCAAGCTGAACAAGATCTTACCAATTTTTCAGCTTCTAAAAGTCCCTTCAGGAAGTCTACTTTGCGAGAGTATTCATTCAGCAGTTCTGGGGCTGGCTTGCTATTGCAATTGAAAAATAATAAGAAAACCAGAAGTTATCAGTATTTTCTATTGTTCAGGTAAGTTTTCAGATAAAATAAAATAAACCCAACACATGGCTCTTCAAAGAAGCAACTTCTGTTAGAAGTCAAGGCCAGGCTGGATAGGGCTTTGAGCAACCTGGCCTAGTGAAAGTCATTTCTGCCCGTGGCAGGGAAGGTTCAAACTACATCACAGCGTGTCTGGGGTTGGAAGGGACCTCTGGAGATCACCTTGTCCAACCTCCCTGCTCCAGCAGGTCACCCAGAGCAGTGGGCCCAGGATGGGATCCAGGCACATTTAGAATCTCTCCAGAGCAGGAGACTCCACAGCCTCTCTGGGCAGCTGCTCCAGGCTCAGCCACCCTCACACCAAAGAAGTTTCTCCTCCTGCTCAGGTGGCACCTCCTGGGTTCCAGTTGGTGCCTGTTGCCTCTTGCCCT